CAACTTCCTTTTTCCCTACTTTCTAATTTTCTCAACTGCTGAACCCAGTCATATCTAAAAGCCTCCTCCACCCACTTTTTTCCCCAAACGAAAGCTGAAACACTTTACAGCTCGGTGGTGCTTTATAGAAACAAGCTGTTTGTAAGATGGATGTTTGAAATTCCAGGGTGGCTGCAGACAGACATGTCCTGCATTCAGGGGCCGGAGGAAGTAAATGGATCTGAGCCGTAACTTAGTCAAAATGGCCAAAATTAAGAACCACAATAATTTTGATTTAAAAAAAAACTTCTGTATCAGCACCCAAATTCTTCAATAGTCCCTACTATTGGTATAATTTTTTCACTTTCTGTTTTTTTCCCTGTCTTTCGCTAACATCCCGAGGCATTTTTCTGGTCCCTGAATTCTTGTTCATGTATTACTGTTCTGAAATATGTGAACTTCCCCATGGAAAATAAAGATAGGGAGTCTCTGGCTTTTAAAAGCCCCACACTTGGAAAACCAAGGTTCTGACTGCAACATTACCACACCAGGAACATTTCAGTCCTCTGTGTTGAGGTGGGTTTTTCGTGGATGGAGGGCCAGCTGGTGTCTCGGGTGAAGAATGGATTCCTGTTGAATTCACAGTAACATGGTGCTGTGTAGATGAATGGGCAGTTGGGAGTGGTGACCCCTAGGACAACTTAAATTAGAGGTGATTTGCGAAATTTAGGTGAAAAATAAGAGGACCCTGACATCAGTGCGGGTGGGGACTGTGTATCTGTCAGGGTCCAGTGAGGAGGCAGAAGCCACACGTGACTCAGGGCAGGTTGGGTGTGCAGATCTCCTGGTTGGGGACCGCACAGAAGTAAAGTGACTCTGCAGAGCACAGAGGAACTCATGGAGGGAACAGCTGTGGCCCTGGGGCTGAGACAGTGGCCAGCGAAGAGGCCCCCGAGCCTGAGTCTCATTCTCACAGCCAAGGGCATGGCTGTCCATCATGGGAGGGCAGAAAAGCTACCAAGGGGCTGTGCCAGCAGAAGGCAGCCCTCGCGGGGGTAGGGGAGCCAGCCACTGGAAGGTGCTGGGCCCAGAACTTTCGAGATGCTGGGCAGTTGCGGCTGGAACTGGGCACTGGGGATGCCACCCTCTGTGTGTGGCTCCAGCCACCCCACTGGGCAAAGGCCAGGTGGTGGCGCTCTCGACAGTGGCCCCTTGGAGCCTAGGCTTGTGCATGTGGGGGATTCAGGAGCGGGTGCAGGGAGCAGCAGCCTGGGCTGGGGTCCGAGACTGAGCCTCAGGGCCCTGGTTCCCCTGAGCTGAGAGCTGGAGAGAGCTCGTGCAGGTTCAGTCCTGGAGGACAAATCCACTGACCGCCCACCTGGAGGTCAGCCCCTTTCTCCAGCACCCACGGCCGACTGCCCACCTTCTCGAGTTTCCAAAGTCGTTCATGAAGTGCTTCTTTGTGGAAGGATGCTAAGAAGGAGGGAGGTGGTCCACATGCTGTGGGGTCTGGTAATCTAACTAAGGCAGTGGGACCAACACCTGGAGGACCCAGGCCGGCTCACCAGCAAACGCCCAGTTCTGAGGCACGAGAGAATCCCAGTAGGGGACTGGCTTTGGAAAGTGCCCTTTGAGAGGCCTAGGGAGAAGCTCAGAAAGAGGGCTTATATTGTATTCTGAAGGCTGGGATGGGAGGGTTTGGGTGCCAGGGAGGTATTTCAGGCAGTGACCCAGGTCAGAAGATGCCTCAGAGGTGCAAATAGGATTGTATTTCATGAAGAGTGTTGGACAAACTGTACGGAATTGAGGGCCTGGAAGCACGGTGTCGGGGGTGGCGGGGGTTGCATGGCCTCCCCAGAATTCTGAGTTCAAGGTCAAGGCCCCGAGACATCTTCAGTCCCCTAGCCATATTGCTCTTAGAAGGAAACTTAGATTTTGGGGCTTCAAAATAAACACTTGATTGAAAAGCGGAAGTCAGATTGGCTTTATCCAAGAAATAAGAGGAACCCCAGTACTGAACATAAGCCATCACAGTAACGAGTCACATTCGTTCCAGCTTCCCAGGGGCCAGGCCGTGTCCTGCTTCCCACATTCACAGGGGTGCAAACCATTGCCAGTCACAGTTTTAAATAGAAATTATGAGGTAATGATTGTCATACTCTTTTATTTATTTATTTTTCCATTTTTAAAACATTGAAATATACTCAGTTTACAACATTGTATCCATTTCTGGTGCACAGCATAATGTTTCAGTCGTACATGTACATACATCCTTTTCATATTCTTTTTCAGTATAGGTTACTACAAGATACTGGATATAGTTCTTTGTGCTGTACAATGTAAACTTGTTTATCTGTTTTATATATAGTGGTTTGTATCTGCAAATCCCAAATTCCTAATTTATACCTGCCTTTCCCCTTTGGTAACCATGAGTTTGTTTTCTCATGACTCACAGAGTCTGTGAGTCGTTCTGTGTCTTGTAAATACGTTCACTTGTGTCTTTTTTTAGATTCCACATATGAGTGATGTCATATGGTCTTGTACCCTTTTATAGAAGAGCAGCAGAAAGGGAAGTCAGGAATTTCTGTCAAGGCCCCCTTCCCCCACCCCTCGAATTGAAGGGGAGTCTGGAGCCCCCCGGGTTCGGCAGCTTTTGAGGTGGCAGGATGGGGAGGTTCCCAGCGCCTGGTACTTCCTGGTGCCCTGGGCATCCTGTCGCCTCACCCCACACAAACCTGCAGCCGCGCCCAGGAAGCCACATGCGTTCAGCCTCTGCACAGGTTGAAGTTTCTGGTTCCTGTGTGACATCTGCACAGTCATTTCTGCAGAATTTGGAGTTCCCTAGGCTGATACATTTTTTTCATTTCTATATTTTTTTATTGAAGTATAGTCGGTTTACAATGTCGTGTTAATTTCTGGTGTACAGCATAGTGATTCAAATATCTATATATAGATATATAGATATATATATTCCTTTTCATATTCTTTTTCATTATAGGCTATTTCAAGGTATTGAATATAGTCCCTGTGCTATACAGTAGGACTTTGCTGTTTATCCTAGGTTGATAATTTTATATAGAGATCATTTTTTTCCCCTGAAACTCATT